TGCTTTTAGAGGAGCTTCAATTTGGAATAACTTAGACACTGAGCTAAAAAAATGTACATCACTTAAGACATTTAAAAGTCAACTTAAAGAACACTTACTGTCTACTTAGACTATAGACTACTTCCTATTTTAGACTATTAAAAACTTAGATATCAGTCATTTTTATTCCTAACTTTGTAGAAACTGTAAATATTTTAAAATTGTAGTTTTATAAACTAATTTTGTAAATGGGTTCTGAAAAACCCTTTTGGGAGAAACCATTAATTTTAATAATAATAATAATAATAATAATAACTTTCGCTCGTATAAATGGCCCTAATGCTTCCTGGTTTGTCCACCTTCGGGAAACATGGCTAGGAAACAATGCGTCCTGGTTTGCCCACCTTCGAGAAACATGGCTAGGAAACAATTGTTTCATGGTTTATCCACCTTCGAGAAACATGGCTAGGAAACAATATTTCCTGGTTTGTCCACCTTCGGGAAACACGGCTAGGAAACAATGTTTCCTGGTTTTAGTGGTTTACCAACCTTTTGAAATATAATAATTTCTGAAGAAAGTCTATCTTGTCTTTTATTATAGACACCATTGATTCACAAAAACCATCAAAGAAAAAAAAGAAGAAGCGAGGAAGATCACGCACAAATCGCCGATGAATTTATCGAAAGAAAGCCCTATGTGTGGATCTTGTGCTTCAAAAGACGAAACACAGCTTTCAAGTGACCGGGACAAATGGCCCATTGGTAAAATCGAAAATGGTTGTTTTGACGAAATTTGCAAACTACTCGACTTAGCTTATAGTAGCAAGGACGCCCTTGTGAGCGCTTTAGGTAGCTTCGACCAAACAACGGCTGCAGGTATTAAAATAACATACGAAGTAAAGGGAGGATTGGGGACTGCCGAAGAAGTACTCGGTAAGTGGGGATCATCAAATCAAGAAAATAATGTGGGGGCTCTTATAAGAAGATTCTTAAAGATAACATGCAAAGGGATGATGTTGTTGTCGAGATTGAAAAATGGGAGAAGTTGGCTGTTTGTCATGGATGCGAACGACGGTGATTTCAATAGCACTACTGAATGGAAATCAATATTACCATTTAGCAAAAGGAATAGATCACATAAAAAATTACAAAATTGACTAACTAAAATACCACAATCAATATCCCAAATTACCGTGTTATTTATCTGTCTGTACAAACACATGAGCTTTTATTTGGGCGTTATATTTGGCATAGCCAAAATGTTATTAATTTTGTACACTTAATATTTATAGAAATTCCGTTTAATTTGCAAAAAATCATTTAGTTTTGCCTAATATAACTTTATGACTTCTATATGATTAACAGCAATTGCACCTAATTATAAAATTAATTAACTACCACTAATATGTAAATATTCTTAGATCCTTTTAGAGACAGTTAGTGTATAGTATTTTAATATTCTTAAATTAATATTCTTATATTAATATTCTTAGTTAGTGTATAATATTGTATATTCTTGGATCCTTTTAGAGATAGTTAGTGTATAGTATTTTAATATTTTCTTAACTTGTAAATATAAGCGTAATTCAGCTATTGGCTGCAATGTTTTTTATGAAATAAACCATCTATCTTTCTATCTACAGGGTGTATCCATCTATCTTTCTATCTGCAGGGTGTATCGATCTATCTTTCTATCTACAGGGTGTATCAGAAAAAAGTAGACAATTTTGAAACGGCTCTCAATTTCACAAATTTGTTCGTGTCATCAAATTTTTGATAAATATATATTGTTTGGGTACTTATAATGTGGAATAAACAAAACATTTTCTGAGCATCCAAATTTGCTCTAAAATTTATGCTAACTATACTTGTATTTGAAGTAAAAGATGGAAAAAATGCGCAAAAAGTAAAAAAGAATATTAACTGTAATTTATCGGCTTATTAGAGGGATAATCCCCAGAAAATTTTTGAAATTTGAAACCCGGAAATGCTATTTCCTGCATTCTGAGCATCCAAAAAATAAAAAAAATTATTAACAATAATTTAGAAAAAAGTAACAATTTAAATCGATTTTGTTAAACAAGGACAAGGGATGAAGCCTAAAACTTACTTTCCGTTTATGTATTTGTTAATCTTCGCTGGTTTGTTTGTATAATTTTAAGGAAAAGGGACTTTTCCTGGGGGGGGTCTATATTCTAGGGGTGGAGGACTAGAGCAGCGAGTGGGAGTCTAGAGAGCTGAAAACAAAGTATCCCTGGAAAAATTTGAAAAAAATCATGATTTCTAGCTTCGAAAAAACGTTTTTTGAAGTTGTCACATCAATGGATTTGGCCTGTCCAATTGTCTGTTGAGACTTGAGAGAGTTAAAGTTAAATGAAGCTGTAAAAGTGTAAACTCAATAGGCCAATACACAATATGCTTTTACTTTTATAAAATCATTGACATTGTGTCGTTTGAATCCGAGCACAATTTATGATGCAACTCCGATGTAAATAATATTTGGGACGTAAAGATTAAATCTAGGCAAGACTATTTCCTAAAAGAATTAAAACTAAAAATAATGTTCGTAAAATTTCCAAACGTTCTTTGCAAGCAAGCTATTTGAATGACAAGGCACTGCAAACTCAATTCAGGGGAGATAATAGAGTTTCAAAACTTTACAATTGGTCCAATAAACCAGTGAATGCAAGCGAGGAGCAATTAGTTTCAGAGTATTGCGTCTTTTTCTATTTGAGTGTACTCCTACGTTTATTTTGTATCATCAACACTCTGCACGTTGGAGTGGACTATTTAATTATTTTTTATTATGCCGAATATTGGGGGGGTTGAAAATTTTTTTGGAGGGGTGGACATTTTGTTTGGGGGGGTTATAGCTAATATTGGGGGGGTAGCACCCCCCTGCACCCCCCCACAAAATCCGTCTATGCTGCAACGGGCTGGGCTAAAACTTTCAGCATGGGCTAAAACTGATCCTGGGCTGAAGTTTTTGTCATGTAATCGCTTGCTGTGTTTTAATAGGACTTTATCCTTTGGCCAGCCTGAAATGTCACTCCAGGAAACCAGGCTGAAACTCAGTCCTGGCTAAGGGGCTGTTTATATGGTCCCGCTTACCCGGGATTCAATGAAGTGTGGCGTATTTTGAGCAATTGAAATACGTGTTTCAGCCCTAAACGAAAGTTAGATCCCTTTAAATATTGTTTGAACGAAATTGGGAACGCGCTAGAAGTTATGTAGTGGAAGAAGACGATTAATAGCATTCAACAAAATTTGTTTTTTGTCTAAAACATGGAATTTCATACAATTTGTAACAAGCAATTTTGTTAGATCATTTAACTGCGACTTATTTCAATCGCTCAAAATACGTCACACTTCATTGAATCCCGAGTAAACGGGACCATATAAACAGCCCTTAAAACTCGCCATGATATATGGGCATGTAACTTTCATATAGCTCTAAATTTCGTGTCGCGGTGTGCCGGTGGAGGTGTACGGGCGGTGGTAAATCACGTGACAGATTCGTAAAATACGACAAATACCGAGTTTTTCTGTTTAGCGCCTGAGAAAAATAGATTGAAGTAGGTAAAGCTTTGCTGTTTTTAATTTACCTTATGTTATTTGTTGTTATTTTGGAGCCGTTGTGCTCACACTGATTATTTATCAATTATCAGGCGTTTAATATGTGCCATTTAAAACACGAACAGAAGTGCTTTATCAGATATAAAAGACGACAGCGCAGCTCGAGTGTTTTATATCTGATAAAGCAAGGACTGCGAGTGTTTTAAATGACTTAAAAAACGACCCATCTTATGAGTTCATTGGCGAAGTAATTTTAAGAATAAACGTTGTCTAAGCAGAGAAAATCAAAGCTAAAGTTTATGCAAATGAACATGATTTTTTATCACACATAAAACCACCAACACGGCAGTGATTTCCTTTGTCTTTTCTTCATTTATTTTTGTCTTTTCTTCATTATCGATTCTCCTTTGCCGGAGAATCGATAATAGCGGGGGCAGATATTCATATATTCGTGTTCACAGACTGTAAAAACAATCGATTTCAAAAGAAATTAATTGGGCAGAACACGAATATATGAATATCCCCCCCCCCCCCCCAATTATCGATTCTCCGGCGCCTCTGATTATGTCAAAACTACAGTACATTCTGCAAATAACATGAAATTGAAATATATTAAAAATATCAATGAAACAAAATTCTCATTGATAGTAATACTATTGAAATTTGATACAAGGAAATAGCATATCCTATTCGAGATCATAGTTTAATAACTATTTTCAATTTACCGTTTCCACGAGTTTTATACCTTCAAAAACCCACAATAAAGCTAAATTTGTTTAAATTTGTAAGAAATAACATTGTTTACTTCAAATAGTCAATAAGTGATAAAACCTTGACCAGTTGATCTTGTTATTACCGTCCCTTGCAACTACAGATGAACAGTCGCTTATAACGAACATTGCCTATTCGTGTGAGAATCTTAAGTTTTCTTATTTTGACATACAGTAATACATACATTACATACAAAACTTTATTTAAACCACGCTAGCCTCAACAGCCGTTGGAAGGCTGGTTTCCATGAGGGGCGCGAAATTACCTATTTACAAAAAGTTAACTATATACAGGAAATACAAAATATAACAAAAAAATAAAAAAATACAATTGATTTCAGCTGCACGATTACACACAAGCAAATTTCAACTCATTCTTTGTTTCAATATCGACTTGAAAGAGCTTAGGGATTCAGCAATTTTTGCCTTATGGGGAAGATTATTCCAATGCAAGGCACCATTATAACTGAAGCACCTCTTGCCGAATTCTTTTTTCGGCATAGGTGGTGCTAAATCAGTATCCCTATTTCGATTGATAAGATTGTTAGTATTATGTCTTTCATTATTAAAATTAAATGCTTCTTTAAGATTGGGTGCGGTGTGGCCATTCAGAATTTTATAGACGAAAATAGATTTAAGATAATTGCGTCTTTCTTGTAGAGGTTTCTAATTTAGATTATTGAGTAACTCAGATGACCGAATATCGTAAGTTGCTCCAGTAATTACTCTTGCAGCACGATTTTGGTATTTTTGCAACTTATCTTTGAGCCCAATTCCACAATTATCCCACAACGAGCTGCAATAATCGAAATAAGGCTGTATAATAGCATTATATAGCATTTTGGTTGTCGACAGTGGAAAAGGTTTAACACGTCTCATTGCACCAATACCGGCACCAACTTTAGAACAGATTGAATCAATATGTTTATCCCAAGACAACCTTTCGTCCATAGTCACGCCAAGGCATGAATATTTATTAATCCTGGGTACTAGCTTATTATTAATTAAAATAGGATTACCAGATACTTTATTCTTAAGGTTATAGGGAGACCCAATGAACATATGTTTCGATTTACTGGGGTGGATTTGAAGTTTATTGTGTATCATCCATTTGCGTATGTTTTCGAGATCAATATTTACCTTGTCGACAAGGTCGGCGCTGTCATTAGAAGATGCATAAATTTCCGTGTCATCAGCATAGAGTGAAGGAGTTAAGTGACTTAACGAGTCAGGCATATCATTTATGTATAATAAAAATAATAGAGGACCAAGGATAGACCCCTGTGGAACTCCGCATATTATCTTTTTTGGGCTCGATAGTTGTCCGTTTATAAGACATTGTTGAACTCTGTTATTCAGGTATGATTCGAACCATCTTAGTTGGTTTCCTGTTACTCCGAAAAAATTACGCATTTTACCAATCAGAATTTCATGATTTATGGAGTCGAAGGCTTCTCTAACATCAAGAAAGACTATACAATTTATTTGACCACTATCCATGTTTTTAAGTAAATTATCACACATTTGTATCAACGCAGACAGGGTTGAGTGTTTAGGTCTAAACCCTGATTGGAATTTAGAAAGTAATGAATTATTGGAAAGATAGCCATAAAGCTGTCGAAAAACCTCTCTCTCAAAAACTTTACTTACAATGGGGAGTATGGAAATTGGCCTATAATTTTCACATTTCCGTCGATCTTCAGATTTGTAAATTGGAATTACTCTTAGTCTTCAACATAAATACCAGTGTCAAGTGATAAATGAAATATATATGTCAATGACGGGGCAATAATATCTGCAGAGAGTCCGAGAACATTGGCTGGAATTTTATCAAGGCCAGTAGATTTGTTTATCTTAAGGTTCATTAATGCCAGAAAAACGTTTTCTACATTAATACGATGGAAATGGAATATCGTATCTGTTGTGGGATTGGAGTTATTGTAGCTATTCGTAGTGTGTTGAGTAAGAGGCTCTTCACCAGCTTCAGGCTCTTCACTAGTTTCAGAAGCTAGGCTAGGGCCAATGTTAACAAAATATTCATTAAACTTTTCAGCGATTAATATAGAATCGGTAATGCTGTTGTCATTCACAGATATTTCTGTAATACTGGAAGATTTGTTATTCCTTCCAGTAAGGGAATTTATAAGGGACCAAATTTTTTTGAAATCATTTGAATATGTACAGTCCCCTATCTCTTTGTGATAAAAGTCAATTTTGCTTTTACGCATTTGCTTATTTACTCTGTTCCGTAAGGATTTGTATTTATCCCAGTGAATTGATGATTTAAATCTAATGGCTTTCTTTTTATGGTAATCTCTATTCCTCATTAGTTGTTTAATAGAAGGTGTAATCCATGGGACCGAGTTAGCCTTAGTTCTTCTTTGGCGTACAGGTGCATGCTTATTTAAAATTTCGTAAAAAATTGATTTCCATACAATCCAGCATGTATTGGGATCATCGTAGCAAATTGTATCCCAGGGTACCTGCAGTAAATCAGCGCGGATAATTTCAATAAATATATTGACATTAAACTTATTGAATCAATATTTTAAGTTTCAGGCCAGTTGTATCAAAATTTATAAGCGCTTGCGCACCATAAAGGCAGATTTCCATTCAGTGCAAAATGTCGCGCGATCGATATTTTGCGATCACTTTCTTTTGAAATACAAGCAATCACACGCAACGGATCAGGTTGACTGAACGCATTTCAAAAGAAAGTGATCGCAAACAGTTGATCTCGCGATATTTTGCACTGAATGGAAATCCGCGGCCTTACGTTTCTGAGGCATGCAACATGTACGCAGTGCGTACCTATTTTTATTATTTTAAACAAATTGTAAAAATGAACTAATTTATTCAAAGTGCATTAATTTCAAAACAGATGTCTAGGGCTGTGATAAAAGTTTATTTATGGTGACGGATGCCTATATTTTGCGGGATACCGGTGTCTGGCTTCG